ATTCCGTTCATTTTTGAATATCAACCGCAGTTTCCGATTGTCATTCACAAACGATAAAGATAAAGAAACATGAACATATCCAACAATATAATCGTTCAATATTTTTAGCTACACTCTCACACAAAAAAAGTGTCTTATTCCACCGACTGAAGAGAGGGTCATACGAAATAAAATACGTTTGCTTGCTTGTAGCAAAGTCAAAGTTTCAAAAAAAACATGAGCTTGATTGAAGTTGAAAGTCAGAGATTAGAGACCGAAGATAAAAGATGCTACGCTTTAGCGGTTTTCAATACTAGGCTTCGAGCCAGTCATGTACATAATTTTAATATGTAGTTTCTAGCTAACGTATGTGTTGCTTTAGGATATTATGTTGATATCGTTTGGCTTCATCATTCTCATGCAGTAATTCTAATAGGCGACCAATACTGTCATTGTTTATGATTTTCATAATATATCGTAAAGTGTGTTTTATGCTTTATAGGAAGTAGACTAAAGACATAAGAACTGCTCACAACATAAGAAGGTGCTTAGAATTTCCTACTCCGAGGTTTATCTATTATAACTGTAACTATTTGTCTCAATCAGTCAAGCACGAATCGACTAGACGCTAGGTAACACAAGATAGATGGTCTTTTGAGAAAGTAGACGTAACTATGGAAGCGATTAGCCGTGAGGGGCGCCGACGAACGACTGGTCACTGGTTTGTAAGACTCAATTTAAAGGAAGATCCAAAGCATACTTCACATGTATTTACAGAAAACTTCTTTCAGACTGCGATATGCAGGAATTCCAATATGACGGGAGACATTTAGGAAAATCTTCAAACAGAAGTTATAACTGATAGTTGACGACGAAGCCTTCTTGTTCGCATTCTTATCGAGAATTATTTTTCTATAGATTGAATAATTTCCTGAGAGATGTATCGAAACCAATCCATAAGCAGGGAACCAACGACTAGAAGGTAGCGAACGTTTAAGAAAGTTTCTTAAAACTTACTATACAGCTAAGTAACCTCGGGATGCGAACTTTTTGTACACCCTAAGTATTTTGAAAAAATAAAGGACTAGTGAAGAGCAAAGGGTACGCCAGCATCTGCAATATCACACATGTCGGCAGTTTATTTGGCAATGATTCTCAAAATGAATAAAATGAGCGCAATCGATGACCAAGCGCGCCATAGCGACGAGCGTTATCTTATTTATCTTTACAAGCGTAACCGAATAAAAAAACGTGGCATTTCTTGACTTGTGTAGAATATGATGACGAATGATATCTCTTAAAGAAAAATAGTTATTGAAAAGACTCAAATAATTCTATATTTAATTGTGAATATAGAAATTCGACCGATCTATTGCGACTTCTATCGTCGTTAAAAATCTTTTAAAGGACATTATATTATTGTTATGTCACCTATTCTAGAAGATTGTTTTACTTGATAAGAAATATGAAGAAGAACAACAGACGAATTTTTTACTCTTTCATCCAAACTCATTTTCGTATTGAAAAGTCAACCTGTCTATATTTGTGTCTTATTCGAAAGTTAAATTCAACTTTCGACTAAGAATCTTTTCTTTATAGATTTTGACTAAATAAATGTCTACTTTAACATTTTTCTAATAAAAGATCTAAGTTTTTCTTTGAATAAAGAAGTTTCGTATATGATCGAATAAATTCTCTCAGTGAACATATATAAAAAATTGTCTGAAACAAAAGATTTATCTCTGATATAATCATATTTTGAAAAAAAATAGAATATTCTCTATATATTGTTGAAGAAAATTTTAGTGAAATATTCTAATCCAATAAGTAATATTGAGAATATCTAATTTGTAAATGTTTAGAAGGAAAAATGTTTAGTTGTTCGTGCGATACAATGGTTGCAATGGACGATGTTACAGATGATGGTTCAATTATATTTGGTAAAAATAGTGATCGTCAAACAAATGAACCATTATCAATACGTTATATCCCTTCTGCTATTTATCCATCAAATTCTAAAATTCGAACAACATATATTGAAATAGATCAAGTTGAGAAAACTCATTCATGTATTTTATTTTCCCCAACAAATATTTATGGTGCTGAAATGGGCTTCAATTCTCATGGTTTAGTTATTGGAAATGAAGCTTTATTTACTAAAATTCCATGTTATTCAGAAGGTTTAACTGGAATGGATTTAGTACGTTTAGTTCTTGAAAGATGTTCGTCTAGTAGAGAAGGAAAAGAAACAATTATTGATTTATTAAATAAATATGGTCAAGGAGGAAATTGTGGTTTTACATCTCCATTTTATTATCATTCAAGTTTCTTAATAGTTGATTCAAATGAATGTTGGATTATTGAAACTGTTGGAAAAGAATATGCGGCAAAAAGAATAACGAAAGGAATTCATACTATTTCAAATAGAATTTCATTTGGAAAAGTAAATACATTTGATGAATATTCAAAGAATTTAATTGAACAAGCTATTTCAAATGGATGGTGTAATTCTATAGAAGATTTCCATTTCGAAAAATGTTATTCAGGTATATCATTTTATCCAAAAGAATTCTATAATGGTTATATAAAAACTTACTTTGCATCTAACATCCATTCACATATCATCTCATATCTCCTAACATTGCGTTTCATTCAGTTCGCCAACCAATCATACCATTTATTTATTTCGTCAATTTATCAACGTCGTTTTCTCTCATTTTCATATCGAACTAAACAGTAATAATCGTATAGTTTGCTAAATAGAGATAAATACTTTTCAAATATTTCACCTTTAAGAAATTCATCTGCTTGTTTATCTTCTATGATATATCTCTCGCCTATTTATCGATAAACCTTTTTTTTCAGTCAATATCGTCTATAGAAGAATCGCTCATCTATACATTAACTTATACTAAGAACTGTCGACTACTCGCATTTTTTTTTTCATCTGTCAAATAATAAATAAGTGATGTGTAACGCTCATTCGCATAGAAAAAGAATTTATTGAAACTCACGCGCTGAGGATGCAACCTTCTCTCAAAGAAAGGGATGATATCTTCCTTAGCACGGTTTTGTCCATCTCGGTCAAATGAAAGCTCTAGAGAAGATGAAGATCTACACGATCCACCAATTTTTTGTGCTTCTATGACATGACGAGCAAAAGAACAAGTTACTTCTATAGAAATCCTACAAAAAAGTAAATGTAACAACCAGAATTATCGTTTTAACATTTACTTTTGACATCTATTTCTATCTCTTGATTTTTCGTCTTTTTTTACATATATCAAAAAAACAGTTTTTGACCTTAGTCATTTATAATTTTCTAGAGAATTTCAAGCAAGTAGATAATAGAGAAGAAAATATACAAAATACTAAGGAGAGAATTGTTTATGTGCCACCCATTGTTCTCTTTCAGTCTATTGGTGAATAAAGCGGACCTCTTTTAAGAAACATTGTTGACTTTTTTAAAGTGATAAATAGATAGTGAAGATGATATTTGTACGTGTTTTTATTTGTTTCCCTTTTAGGTAATGTTAAGTGAGATTTCTCTCAATCTATCTGATCATCTGTTTATCGAACAGTTCGTTAGTAAAATAAGACAATCAAGATCATTCGATTTAATATCTAAACAAAGTAAAAAATATCCAGAAAAATCTTGTCAATTTAATGTAATGGATATGTTTAATGTATTACGTGACCATCAACAATCAAAAGATTTTCCTGAAAATGGTTTAACCAATGTTGATATATGTATGCATGGAGCTTTTGGACCGATCAGATTTAATCAAACAACAGGATCTTTAGTTTCAGTTATTCCAAAATCGAAAAATCAACTTCCAATACATTATGCAACATGTACATCATTACCTTGTTTATCTATATTTAAACCAATATGGTTAGATTCATCTTCAATTCCACCAACTTTTATTTCATCTAGAGATAATTTCCTATCGAATGCATCTATTACTTATTCATCAAATAATATTTGGTGGAAATCAGAAATAGTTAATAGAAATATTATGAAATATTACCAAAAACTTATTCAACAAATTCAAATTGAAAGAAATTTATTGGAAAATCAATTTATCTATAAATCAAACAAGTTATCGTCAAGATATATTTCAGAAGAACAAAGAAATCATTTTACTATATTTGCTTTTGATCAAGTTAGTTATTTATTAGAAAAGAATTCTTAAAAAGTTTTTCAAATCTTTGTCAATTATTCGATATAAAACTTTTTACTTTAAGTAGACAAAAAATATTTCATGATCAAATGGAATAATTAACATTTGATTTTCGAATTCATTCGAATTTCGTTGAAAGATTTCTCTTCAAATTCGAAATAGTCTTCAATCAAAGAATTTTATCGATTTTTTTTTATGAAACATTTAAATAAAGTTCGAAACTGATGGTTTTTTTTTCTAGGTTGATCAATTAATAAATAAATGGTTCTCAAGAGCTTATTCTTTATCATTTGAAATGAAAAGTGAACTTTCCTTTTTTCAAGAATTAACTTGGGAAGGTTGGAGAAAATCTGCGAAAATTCCAAAACAATTATTAAATTATGCAAAAGTAGAAATATATCAAAAAATTATGAAATTTATTTGTTTATTTTCAATTTTAATTATAATTCATCGAGTTTATTTTATAAATCATCATCAATTAAATATATTCAATACATTTACATATTATTTAGTGTTATTTATTTCATTGATTATCTATTTATTATTAACTAAAATCTTTCCTAAACAAAGAAAAACAAAAGAAGAAGAACAAATAGAAATTCTATTATCAAGATTAGATTTTAACGATCATAGTTAATTAAATTTTTATCTTTTATTAATACATTATAATAAAAAAAATATTTCAAATTATCTTTTAAATTCTATTCATCGAATCCTACCATTGATAACTTACACTACAGATTACAGATTCATTTTTTCTCTTTTCAACATCAACGAATATAAGATCTTTTAACAATTATTTTCCACCTAAGAAAACAACTTCCATCTCTCTTTAAAAAGATCCAATGTTCGAACGATTTTTAGCAAAAGGAGGAAGCTGATGCACAAATAGATAGCGACAGTGACAAAAAAATCTCCAACGATGAACGGCGCTACTTCAACATCTTTTACTTTTTTCGACTGCGAGCAGTCAATCTTTGCACATTTCCAATTTTAGCAGATAATCCATTTGATTGAGATTAGTTTACAATCGAAATAAATAGTTAAATAATTTGCTATTATTTTGAATTTTTCTTCAATAATCTGATCAAAGAAATATATGTTGTATATTATCCTTCTTCATAGTTTATATGATCATCTTAGAAAAAGAACACAATCGAAAATATTCGATTTGTCTCACATATCTATATGATAGATTCACGAAACAGCTAAAAACTATTTTCCATCCAATCTGTGCAGAGTACGGCTTACTATCACCTTCTCTCACCTCGTTCTATAAAAAAAAGCGTTTTCAAAGAGAATTTTTTTCAAATATTTCAAGCATGCATCTTACACAGTACGATCATCAATGACCATGCTCCGAGGGCGTGGGTATGGGTAATATCACTTGTTCGTCACCATCCCACACACACCCACATCCATACTTGCTCTTATTATTACTATCGCGAAACTCTCCAAAATGATCTTTTTCACTTCTATGTTCTTGAACACCGTATATTGGCTTTTTTCGTTTCTATTATAAAAGAACATCACCATGTGCCTCACAGTGGTCTAGCTATATGTGTCGATTGTGTTATTCGTTTGCAATTTCTTTCTCTTTCTCTTTCTCTTTTTTCTGTTCTCGCCACGTTATCAAAGAACACACTTTATCATATACATTTATAAGATAGAATGTGGAGAAAAAAAAGCTTCTTTTTTGTGTTTGAAACTTCGTGGCAAACACGACGCGCTCTCATCAACAACACGTTAATACTTGGTGAGAACAACTGTCAGCACATCTACGTCCGTTTGCAAATATCATGTCTCACAAAGAACTGCTTCATATGCCACTAGACAATGGTGTCAGCCTTGCCTATCGACTTTCTCATTCTATCGATAAATCATTACCAACTATCGTTATGTTTCACGCGTTTCTGATGGATTCACGGTTCTTTGACCGTCAATTGAAGGATGTTCGATATTCACCCTATAATCTAATATCAATTGATTCACACGGTCATGGAGAAACAACAGGTCGGGGCGAAGACTTTACCTTCTGGGACACTGCTTCAGATTCACTACAACTTCTCACTAAACTTGGTCTGGATCAGTTCTATGTACTTGGAACTACACAAGGAGGTTGTATAGCCTTACGAATGGCTCTACTCGAACCTCAACGAGTCAAAGGATTAATTTTGCTTGGAACTACGGTCTACAGTGCAACAGAACAAACTAAAGCCAATGCTCGAAAGTCCCGTGATAAATGGTGTGAAACAAAGATTCCTTCGGACGAAGCAATAGTTGCTAGAACAGCATCTTTTGGTGGTCCAACACGTGTAGACGAAAAAGTCTACGAAAAACTTAAGGAAATGTGGATCAAACGATATGCTGGTCCCGAAGGTTATGATCCAGTACTCAATTGTCTCCTTAACCGCGATGCAATCGATGATAAACTCGGCCAAATCAACGTCCCAGCGTTGGTTCTACACGGAGCGGATGATCGTGTGTTTCCAGCGCAAGATGCAAAAGAGTGGAGTTCAAAACTGCCTAAACTATGGAAATTTGAGATCATAGAAAGAGGCGTTCATCATCTTTCATTAACAGAGCCTGGCGACGAAGTTGCTGCTCAATTAATTCCACAATTCATAACAGAAACATTGTAGAACTATGTATAACCAATGAGAACTATTATTTATCACAAATGTTCATTATTAATTTTCAGTCCCTAGATACTTTTTGTTATATGAGATTATTAATTCCCAATAAAGGTAAATGTCCATAATAGTTTCTATAAATATATTCACCAACATTATTCGCTCTAAAGTTCATTCCAACAATAAAATCATCATGAAATTCGAAAAACACCATGTCTATGTCAAAGGAAATTCATATTCCTCATTTTCTTTCAATTTCCCATTTCTCACTAAACTATAATGGAAAAATTATATATGACACTTATGATGATAATATCAATGAAAATGAATATCAACAA